GGGGAGCAAGTGAAAAAAAAGGTAAATCCTCATGAGGTTGATTGGAAAAAGATATTTAGATCAGAAGTGACAAAGGAACTGAGAAATCCGACTTTAAAATGTTCAAGCCTGTAGTTGATGGACGTGGTCTCTGCCACACCATGATGAAGCCAAAAAGCAGCTGCAGGTAAAATAACTTACAGTAGATGCAATGGTCCAATGCCCCATGTGGAGGATCAGAAGGTCAAAGAAAATATCATTGCTCTAAGATGACATAGCTCAGAGTGATAAACAACTGGACAGAGTACCTGAGGTTGTGTGGTCAATCCTTGTGAGGTGCAGTGACTTTTGAAGTCCAGCACCCAAAGAGGAGTAAAAAGGTTTATGAAATTATGTAAAAGTGTGAAATAGCTCAAAGTGATATAACACGGGTTAAAAGGCCTGAGGTTGTGTTCAAACCCGATGTGGTTCAGTTATTTTTAGGATTTTTAGGATATACTCGGTAAACGGCTACATAAACCATGAAAGATAGTCAAGGAAATATAAAAGTTAACATTAAAAAAAGAAGCCTGATGTTCTGTGTTCAAACCCTATCCACTTAATTTTAGAGCAAACGATAAGTAAAGTATTAATCAACTATCAAGCAAAACTGTCCTTAAGAGAAGTCACGCTCTTCCTTCTTCTCACATTAAATTCCAGCTGGTCATCCTCCATTTTCCCATAACCCCCTGGTTACATTTCTCCGAAACTTCGGTTTAAATCTGGTGCGGCGCGTCTGCCATCAGCCTGAGCTATTCGACGCCACACTTGCAGTCGTATTTGACTCTGCAATTGCAGGTCAGACCTCAAAACAGAATGAACGCGATAAGGATCGAACGCGCAATCTTTGGAATTACAGCAAGTCGGTAATCAACTTGAGCTAATTGACCCAACACAGTTGAATGGTTTCTTGGTGTATTTGACTTCATGTGTGGTTATCAGACCAAAGACAGACCTCCTAAACACATCTGCCTTGACACTCCAGTTATGTCTCTACACGCATTTGACTTTGTGATTCGATGTCGGGCCTCTAAACTCTGAACGCGATAAGGATCGAACCAGAAAATTCCCAACCGAGCTTTCATTAAACTGAGTTATCGATTCTGTCGCTCCTAACCTCTTTCCTGGTGTGTCTGACGTCCTCTTTGGATGTTGGAACTCTAAACTTACCACACCTCATAAGAATCGACCCAAATTTTCAGTCTGCCTGCCGGTTCTCTATCGGCCATGAGCTATGAGACATTAGACTAATGTTTCTAGTAACAGCTCACAGTTATAGGTCGGAGGATCGGAAGACCTGAGTACATGGGGTCCATCCTTGTGAGATGCAGTGGTATATTAACATGCCAAGCAAAGCCAAACAGTAGACTATCCTTTCTGATCAGAGTGACAGAAGACCTGAGTACATGGGTTCAATCCTTGTGAGATGCAGTGGTATATTAACGTGCAAAGCCAAACAGTAGACTATCCTTTCTGATCAAATAGCTCAGAGTGACAGAAGACCTGAGGTGTATTTGTTTGATTATTATGAGGTGCAGTGCTTGTTGACATCCAACACTCTAATAATAAGTCAAATCCACAAAGATAACATGTCTCTATGTTTATGCATTGGTGGCACGATAGGTTTGTTCCCAACACAAAAGAAGTGCCTGTCGGTTTCATAAGCAAAAACTTTTTTCGACTGTTTTTGACATGCTTGACATGCTATCCTATGACCATTTTTGCCTTTTTCAACATGCTATACTATGACTGTTTTTTGATCATACCCACAACTTCAGGTCCTCCAACTTTATTACTTTTGATTCATATTACAAATTCACTGCATCTCAAAAGGGTCAAACTTCCAACCTAAGGTCTTTTGAACATTACTTGTGTCACTTGTAACCGTTCTCTGTACCCATCCCTCATGGGTGTTTTATCTGCAAGATATTAGATAAGTTGCCCATTTGTGCAGTGAATGAAAAAGTACAAAATAGCCATATCACTAAGACATAGTAAGCCACAATATGTTATAAAAGTCCCAAGTAAGACTTTGTATAGTACATAAAAAACAATGTCCATCACCATCTTTTGTCATTCAGAACGGGCTGAGGCGTTCCAGGGCACATGAGGGTGCATGTTCCCTCAGATGCAAGTCACATTGGCAGTCACATTACTTGACTTGTTGAATCTCGAGGATATTTTTCCTCCCGTCATGTGTGGGGATATATTAAGCCAAATCCCCAACTGCCCTGGGCAGTCGGTGGTGTCGACAGGTAATTGGGATTGAGAGCTGCATGCATGAAAACTAATTAACTTAAATAGATTAGCTGGCAAAGGTAGCTGGTAACGTGGTAACTTTAATGGCCGCTCACTTGTAAAAGGCACTGAGGGTAACTACCTCAGTAGTACTGAGTAGTAACTTCTTAAGCCATGTGCAAAAATAAAAGAAAAAATAGCAGTAAGCACTGCACTTGTTTTGGGCGGTTTGGCTTCATTTGAGGCTGAGCTGAAGCTATCAAATAATTCCATCAAATAAAAAGTGGATAAAAGCAGCTTGTTTTTAGGTCGAAAAATGGTTGTTTGAAGACTAGCCGCTATGACAAAGGAAAGACAGAAAAGACAAGAAAAGGCAAAATATTAGCCTAAAATAAAAAAGGGTTGCTGTGTGCTCAGATGACTCGGAATCAGATTCTACAACCTTGTTAGCATCGCCGGCTTATTTCCATATTAACGACCCCTTCAGAACCTTCAAAGTAATGAATAATTGACAACAATTGAAATGTTTTGATTGTCGTCAGCGCCTGGCGTGTTTAATGTTTCATATGTTGCTTCTGAGCTAATTATTGAGATGGCACATTTGTCAGAAATATGTCTCCCTCGTAACCCCTGCGCGACCAACCCACCATCCACAGATGCCTGTTAGTTTTCAGACAGTGGAATTGGGGGGGGGCCCACAAGCTACAGGCCCTGTTGTAATCACTTAGATCCGTCTAGAGGTACCAATAAATTTCAAAAGCTGTCCAGATCAAAATACTTTAAAACTCGGGTTCTGCATTTTGGCCGCCGCCATCTTGTTTTTTTGGAAGTGAAACAACAGTGTGGAGCGAAGTACAACCGTAAACATTTTATCATTCACGAAATGAAAACACACTGGGAAAGTTGTAAGACCAAAACACGGACAACTCCCAGACCGGACAACACTCTGATAGTGACCTGGTAATCACAAAGTAGCCCTAAAGCATCCCCTGCTTTATGGTCTGTGTGACTCTAAGTGGACCATAATGTACTAAATGAACATCATGCTGTATTGAAGAAGACTTGAAACTACAGATTGAGACCATAAACTCATGTTTACAATGTTTACTGAGGTAATAAATCAAGAGAGAAGTAGAGTCATTTTCTCATAGACTTCTATACAACCAGAGGAGTCGCCGCCTGGTGGACACTAGAGAGAATGCAGCTTTAAGACACTTCGGCATTGGCTTCGCTTTTTAGACCCGGAGATCATCTGGCGAAGAACAGTGGAGGCCAAGCTGCTGGAGGTGCGTCTCTCATGGGCCGAGGCACTTTGGACTTCATGGATCGGCGCTGCCTCAAAGGTCGACAGCACAAATCCGTGTGTCACCACCGTTGATCTCCATCTATCCTCTACTTTTGGAGCAGAACTTTTCAGAAGCCGCGTGTTGATGAACGACGGACAAACCGGGGCTGACAGAAGTCCTCCGTGTCAGACAGAGAGGCAGCTGGAGCACATGTGTGCGTGCTATATTTGGTTGTTTGTGTGTACTACGAGTGTTTGTTTGTGTGAGTTTAAGTGCTTATCTATCCACTTTCCTCTGTCTGTGTCTGTGTGTGCAGTTGTCATGGTCCAGTCAGGTCGGAGTATCCTGAAGACACTGTCAGGCAGGATTGATTTCCTCTTTCCCGATCCGTGGAAGCATTCCCGTAACACAGCTGACCCCCCGAGTTGCGTTACCTTGTCATTTTGCGACACGGATCAAAGTGAAGACGAGCTGAAAATAACCACGCACGGCGACCTTGAACTCTGAGGAGCAGCAGACGGGAGCTCTCAAACACACACATACTGTACACAGGTTCATGCATACACAGACGTTTATATTTGTGGACCTAATATCAGAGATAAAAAGTCTAAGCGGTTGAATTTTTTCAAGTTATGCCGGATCTTTCTACAACATAAAAAACAAATACTGAAAGAAGGAAACTGAAAATATTGCAGTAAATAGCATTAACAGTAACACACTATAATTGCTCTGGAGATCTTACATTTCTATAACATTTGTGTCAGCAAGCAGATTTAAAGACAAACATGTATGAATGTGTAAAAAAAATGACTTTACAAAAATGCAGCAAACATTTCTTGTTTCAAATGAGCATTATTTACTGCAGTAACTTCCTCTCAGCAGCCAGTAGAGGGTAGAACAGCACCAGGAAACGCGTGAATCCACCTCGACCAGCAGCAGCAGCAGCATCCACAACAGACGTCTTCAATCCCAAGTCACAAACACACACATGAGCTTCAACCCCGACCAGGTAGAGTTAAAACGTTGACACATTCAACAGTCATTAGACACATCTTTGAACAGGAAACGATTTGGACACACAAAAACAGGAAGCAAAGACAATTAATGTCGGCCTCAAATACTTAAACTCTTCATATTATAATCCTTAAAACAGCATCTCGAATCACGCGCTGACAAAGACAAAATATCTGACAGGTGAGTCCAGACGTTAAGGTTTTACTGTTAAACAAAGAGCTGCAGAGAAGCTCAGTTTGAACCATGGAAACCTCATTTATTCCTTAGTGTCCGTCTCTTCTTTGACACTGCGGTGTCCTCATTTGATAAAAATGATGAGACATGTTGCTCTGCATTAACATGAAATTGTTTCATTTACAACCAAGAGGCAAGTTGAACTTATTTTTCACTGTCAATTCATGTAAAGCATTTGAATAACTTATTCCAGAGTCATATTAAGGAAAAACAAAAAAAAGTTTATCATCTAAGTTTATCACACAAATAAACCACACAAACATGTGAAATACTCGGCTGCGAATACTATATATCGAGGGCTTTTATTGTGAAAGGTAAGAACTGTGAGCTGACTGTCAAGGTTGAAAGGAGCAATAAAGTTTGACGTCTTGATTCGGACCACAGAGCCTCAGTGTTTTATAATGAAGACGCAACTGGACTCGCTCTGCACAACGTGGTTGGTTGATGCCAAAAAATAAATTCTAAAAAAAAAATCGACCTGGCTACTAAAAATGTTTTGCTTTTGTGCCGCGTAATATTCACGTTCCGTGTGAAAGTACTCATGACAAAAAGTTTAAATGAATAAATTGCACAAATAAAACGCCCCCTGATGTGTAAGGGCCTTCATACCGGTTTCTTTTTGTGGCTTTGGGCCATTGATTTTCTTTGCTGCCTGTTTTTTCTGCAAAAAAACCCAAAAAATAGCTGCTGTCAACACTTATTAAAAACCATCAGGCATTCCATTCAACAAAGTCACAAACAATATGAAGACTTGACCTCAACTCCACCCGACACGGTTGGGATGAACTGCAGCACAGAACCAGGTTCCAACATCTGGTGGAGAGCCTGAAACCAGAAGAGTGGAGGTTGTTAAAGCAGCATATTAACATCAGGATTATATATATATATATATATATATTTATATATAAATATCGTGTATTCTATACAGTTTAATTGTTGAACTCTTGAGCCGTCTCTCTCCAGATCAGGGGATCACGTCACCCACATAATTCTGGGAGTCGCCTGAGTCATCTGGTCCACTATCCTCCTCCTAACACACACACACACACACACACACACACACACACACAGAGAGAGAGTGAGAGAGAGAGTGCAGAGGCCCAGCTGGGCGAGCTAGCTGTTCTCTCAGAGCTATGTGGTCAGCTATGGATCCCTGAGGGACGCCGCTGCCTCCTGTGAGCAGAGGATCCATGCCAGGCCCTCGATCGAACCACGTGTGTGTGTGTGTGCGTGTGTGTGTGTGTGTGTGCGCATATAAGAGACATTTTCTGGTTGGCACTTTCTCAAATATTCGGTAAAAGACCACAACAGTGAGGATGTTTGTGGCTTCTGCTCAAAAACAACACAAACACTGTATGAAAAGAGATTTTTAGAGTATTTAAAGAACAAATCCTGAAATGAATCATCCTGCAATTTCAGCATTTTTAAGCGGGAAAAAAATGGAGAAATATTGTGTGTTTGCGACGGGGTTCGATCACTTTCCTGGAAGCAGACATCAGTCATCTATTGGACAACATCTACCACTGGGCAGCTGTGATTCATCACAAACAAACTGTTTTATTCCACAGAATAAGACAACAGAAGAACAGGTTTACAATCCTTGCATTCTGTATTTCTATATCTGAAAATATTTACTTTTTGTAAACAGATTTTTTTTATTATATATTTTCAAACACCAGCTTTGAGGTTAAATGTGTAAAACGTAGCCTGAACTCGTTCTTTGGTAATCTAACGTGATGTGACCCAATTGCTCAGAATGCTTATTTTTTTTTCTGAATTTCCTTAATAATGGAATGTAACACTCATAAAATCAATCAAATGTATTATAACTTAAGTATAAATTCAGTAAAAAGTTGCTCTTTAAAGCCTATAAATCAATTGAGATAACAAATCTGAATGTATTTAATGGAGCTGGAACCTGAATCGTATTGTTAAATACAATTTATATTAATTTATAGCATGAATGATATACTTTTACTCAATCCCTGTACTTTGATGCTACTTCAATACATTTATTTAATGACCGGACCTTTTGAGTTTATTTAACATGTATGTAGATAAATTGTATATATTTACTCACTGGTATTTATTGCTTTACTTGATATGTTTACTGAGCATCTTTGGTTCAAAACTTTTGTTGTTTTAAATAACTAAAACATGGGATCAGCTTTTTAACATCAAACATAAAATACTGTTTTCATGTTAGAGCATTATTAAGAACATAACAAATAATAGAATATGATAATAAACACAACAGCTTTTCTCCACAATGAGCACTTTTCCTGCTGATACTTTAATTTATTAATATTTTACACAAGTCAAGGTTGTGAGTACTAACTGATATTTAATAAAAGCCACCACCAGCTCTGTTATCTAATCAGAGTTTCTTCACCTTTCTATCCATCTATCATTCATTATTCATATTTCTGTATGCTCCTTGCTGCTGGGTGCACTTTAACGTAAATTGACTTCATTACATAAATGTGTGGGTTAAAGCTGCAACATGTTTTGTGATCGGAGACCATCAAAAACATCCAAGTTCTAACAAAAGGTCGGTGACGCGTCGCTACTCTCAAGAGAAATCCTACAAGCAGTGCAGTCTGTTCTACGTTTGACGGACAACGCTTCAGTCGATGAAACGGTTTCATGTTTGGAGATTTTCACTACACAACAGATCCCGTATACATCTTCAGTTACACTTTCTCACAGAGCAAACCGGGTGCAAATGCTGTTGTTTATCCCCGTTTTAATTGTGTGTGTCGATCCTGCAGCTCTGGCGTTTTGCATGTGTAATAAAACGACTTTTCTTTCCTCCCTCTGAGCTCTTAGTTTCAGTTTCTGCCTCGCTTTTTTCTGGCTCCAACAACTTTGTTCCATTTCTCATTCTCTGGCATAATTACGGCTTTATAGCATTCTCCACCGCTCGGGCATGCTGTAGATATTTCTCTCCCCCCCTTTCCCTTTTTGTCTTTTTTGGTTTGGCTCTCATTAATAATTCACAGAGAGAGAATGGGAAATTTTAGTGCAATTTGCAGCTGCTGAATCCCAGTTATTGTTTTGCAGGGTGTTGCACAGAGAGAGGAAACCTCGGACGAAGGCTTTGTAGTCCTGAATGTAATTTGGCTGCGTCTCTCTGACAGGCCACACATCATTAGGAGGGTGAACGAGAGGTGGGGGGGGGTAACGGCTCCGTCCAGCCAGTCTAACACACTGTCCTCATCTGTCGCTCCAAACCCCAGACGCTCTGTGTTTCCTTAATGCTTCTAGATGCTGTTTGTTCATATTTATGCCTCATAACTATCTATGTTTTATTCCGTTTGTTTGCATTCGACCAGGCAGCCGCTGAATTATTCAGAGCGGGCCGAGCCGCTTCGAAAAAGATGACAAAGACGACGGGAAACTTTTGGCCGCTTTTCTTTCAGATTGTCAGACCAGACGCTTCTTGAAAGAGCAACGACGGGAACGACGACCACGTTTATTTCAGGGCATCCTGGTGGCCGACAGTATATCTGCTGCAGTTTGATGCCGGCCGCCGAGGACCTTTGTTGCATGACGTGCCGCTCTCTCAGCCACATGGCTCCTGGCTGAAAACTAGCTAATAAAGGCAAAAAAGTTAAATTTCTTAAATCAGAAACTGCAGCATGCAGACACCGTAGACACCTGGACCTCAACACTCCATTAATCCACTAAATGAGAGAAAACTTAAAGCCACATTTTTGTAAAAATTTGGACCCAATCCGGAAACACCAACAAATATAAAATGCAATGAGTCAAAATGGGCCTGGCTAAAAACAGAAATGTCTCCTCATGTCAACAGCTTTTATTAACCTCCAATGTAGAGAGTTTGTATCTGAAATGAGCAGTTTGAGAACAGAAGCAGCAGAGTGCAGCATCGATCGGCCGTTAATCGCCAATTATCAAAGCAAAAATAATAATTTGATGGCTTCAGGTTCTAAAATGTGAGAACTGGCTGACTTGAATTCAATGGCAGGATCAATCAATCACAGACCTCATCGAGCAAAACACAAGCGCGAAAAGGGCGAGGACTGAAAAATGTTCTCGTATTCATATTTCTATTAGCAACAGATGCTAATGCAAGAGACTTGATATTGTTCCTTTTGTTTGAATTTTACATACCGATTTCTTTCTTTATATCAATGTACCAGAATATTCTGACATTTCAAACACTCAAATGCATCTAGCTCTTAAATCTTCAACATCTTCACCTTTTACAGTTTATATGAATCTACCCTACTACCAACTACTATAATAATAATACTACTACTAACCGAATCTACATGCGTTGTTTTTACACGCAGGATTCTTTAAATTTGAAGACATTTTAGCTTAATTTCATTTTTACAGATCTTCATTTGTTATTTATCTTTTGCACAAAACGTATTGAACTATTTCCATCTTTCCTCATAAAAATTGTTTATCATGATTAGTTTGCCAGTAAAGCCGACTCGGATTTGCATGTGCCTGACTGTGTGTGTGTGTGTGTGTGTGTGTGTGTGAAGGCACCAACCACCAAGAGTAGAGACCAGGGGCATCAGGGCTCGGAGGAAAACGGCGAGAGAGAAAAAAGAGATAAGAAATCAAAACCTCTCTTTTTCCCTTCTCTCTCTTCTGGCCTATTTTGCGCAGAGTATCTCATAACCGGAGAGTTTAGGGCTGTTTAATGCTAGGTGACACAGCAGTGTCCTGCAGTCTTTTCTTTCTTAATCCCTGGCATCTTCGGTAAAAGATCTCTCAGAAGAAACAGCGCTCGTTTCTGGCATCCAGCCGCCGGAGGGAAGAGGAGATTGTCAGGGCGCATTTCTTCTCTGCTCGCCAGCCATTCCTCAGGAGGATTGTGTGTGTGTGTGTGTGTGTGTGTGTGTGTGGATAAATCTCCCCCCTTTTTTTTGGTGAGTTAGATAAACTGAGGGGAAGAAGAAAGAGAGGTGGCAGCTCCCCCCATTGGAGAACAATTCCACCGTAAGCTCTTGTTTTCTGGAAATTACAGGAATGTTTCTCTTGTATTGCTCTTGTCACCTTGCCACCAACATGGCCGCAAACGAGCTAAAGTGAAACTCACTGGTGCGTTTGTGGAGGAAGGAGGAAGAAAGGGAGGAGGAGGAGGAGGAGGAGGAGGAAGATGCCCGGCGGGCTGGTGTTTGGTGTCATCCTCTGATAGCGGGTTTTGTTTGGCCGGAGGAGGGTTTTGTGCAGAGGGACGTGAGGCTGACTGGGAGGCCAGTAATCTCACTGACCGCTCTGCCCAGTCAGTG